CCAAAGAAATAGATCCTATCACAATTGTACTTTCCTTTATTCAAGTCTTCATTTCCTTGACTTTAGCACTACGTTTTCATGTTTAATCTTTGGGCGATATTTAGTAAGCCCCCGTATAATTATTTACCAAATTCGTATATTCCCCATATTATTACTTATCAAATGTGATCCTCTACGTTGATTGTTCACAACATTAACTTTTTATGCATTTACACTCACATTTTTTGATGCATATCCTATGCATATCCTCATTTGGGAAATCATCTCACAAATATTATCATTTTATTGACTTGGTTCATAGCAAATGTTCTTCTTTTAGTATTTGCCTTTTAGTGCTTCATGCTCTATTGTTCGTGGAGATCCTTTAATGTTTCTCTGCAATCTCCTCAGAGGTGCATTCCCGTAATGTCCTCGAGCAATAACATCTAGCACAACCTTTCCATTGTCATCATGTCCTCTATAGAAGTACTCTTTGAATGACTCATCATCTTTGTTTTTGTTTGGTAATCTTCACATGAATCCAATGAATAAATACCACGAACTATTCACTAAATATCCGAGTAGAACCATACATATATTTAGTTATCCTTGATATTAAAATTCTTGGAAATCAGAAAATATCTCACCATGTACGCCTTGTGCAGCTACTCCCATGTATTTATTGAATGTATGGAAGCTCATAAAACCACACACAACATCTCTTTTTAATGGAAATGGGAATATTCACAAGCCTATTATGTCCATGTCTAAGTCGGTTTGTTCCACACTACTCATATAAACACTCTTCAGTTAAATCATTTGAGCATATGTATCTTCAAAAGATAGGCAAAAGGCATTAACCGACATAGACCACACCAGCTATATATGAAATCCGATGTCATAAGACCCCGCACCGTTGAAGGAGTTCTACTTTCCAAAGTTAGAACTTAATACACATCCCTTGTAGCTCATGGTTTAGGGATATCAAGGTCTTCTTTATACTAGAGTCTCATATTTCAAAGTAAGCTACTACCACAAGCATATCTACTCGGGGCTTTTCCTTGTTTCTCATAGAGTAAGTTCATTCACATAATAATATTAGAGAAGGTACAACTTCTAAGTTATACCAACTCAGAATTCCACTAACTACAAGGGGTCCACAAGGGCTGCCAATCAAGGTTTATTGGATAGATTATATGACTTTCTTAGAGATGTTTGCATCCGTTCTAGCCAACCTGCCTTTAAGTCCATCATTCCACTCAAGAAGAGGCGCCATTTCGGTTTACTACTTCAAGGCTTGTTTATTAACCTTCTTTTCGCATCAAGGTTCCATATTAGTCTTTCATAGAAGGAGACCTACTTTAAGTATACCGATCCAAGACTTTCATTCGTTCATATATTCAGAAAAGGGTCCCTAAGCCTACCAAGTCAAGAGATCACATTGACGTAACTTTCACGCATGAAGTAGGGAAACGTAATTCTAACTATACAAGAAACAATATTCACATATAGAGACTGTTCATTGTCTATTATCATCACATACCAACATTTCGAGAAAACATACTTTAATTAACAATATCTCATAGTTATATACAAGTTCTCCTCTATATCGCACATGCATCACATAATGCCTTAACCTCACGCATTCATATATAATGTATCATCCTTCACATTGTAAGCCATAATAAGATGATACCACAATTCATATCATAATGACGACAATGTCATGTTCATAACAATTATAAGACATACTCACTGCCACCATAAACGATCCATACTAATCAATAGACATTTATATCAATTCTGCATTAACTAAGGGATTTAGGTCAACGTACCACCCTCAAATAGACACAATCACCATCTCTTAACATCTCCAAAAATTTCCATAAACAATAGAACTTACAAATTACCATGTCAATAAGGCTAGACCACCAACTCATTCTTACAATCTCAATTAAACATATACAGATATAGATAACAAAAAGAATCAATAATGTAAAGAAATCTAAATATATTCCATCCATAACCAATCACAATTATCCAACCCACTTTATAATCCAAAATTAGAGAATTAGGATGATCATGGGTTCATGGAAATTTTTTATCATAAAACCATAAATTAACATTGGAGACTTCATAAATCATCAAATTATACCTTTTAATGCAATAATTCGTGACTAGAATTCCAAATATGTTTTTAGTGTTTTTTAGATCTTTCGAAAAGCCTTTAAATTGAATCATTGAATGATAGAAATATCAATGATGAAATCACCATACCTTTCTGAAGTCTTATACATGAAATTTTGGTTGAAACCTAGTAGAATTGACCTTCTTCCTTGGAGCTTCAAAGTTCACCAATGGATGTTTTGGAGAGAGAGAATGAAGAGATTTTGATTTTCAACTTCTGTGTTTGTTTTAATTGATAAATTGGCGTATAAGTGACTCAAAAACCATTTATATGAAATCCTTAAATTACCCAAAATGCCCCTATACTAGTTTGACCTTTTAATTAAGTCTAATTTGACTTTTAAACTAGGCGACCAAATCTGAAACATGGCTATGCGTTGTCGGGGCACTTCCATATCTTGTTTTAGAATTCAATTTGAGGAAGAATGGTTCGTGAAAAGCCCGCATCGCAAGGCAATTTTTTGCCTTTAAAGTGGTAGCTGCACGATGCGCCAACAATTCCTAAAAGGGGCTGCCAACATGCTTCCATGACAGCCTCCTTGCAAACATTGGGTCCTCCTTAAGGACCCTTTGGTTGGTCCTTGAGGAGTCTTGCCTACATGTTTTGACCGTAAACACATTTTATGACACTAGGGTCACCACCCCTGATTTTAGACTTTAAAAACAGATAAAAACATATACAATATACAATGATACACTAGCACACACAATACTAGTTTCAGAACGTCTAGATCATCCTTTGACGTTTGACTTGAAATTCTTTTAACAGACTTCAATGGATGGATTTAATTATTTTAACAAGTTATTAACACATTAAACACATGTGAATTTGTAATTTTATAAAGACCCAAGATTATCCTCTAGGCGTTACACGACGTACATGACCTCTCGGAGATCTTTTACAAGCCCCTTAGCTTTCATTCATCAAATAAGTATGAAAAGTAGTGTGGAATTATAACTTTTCACAACACAGTAAGAAACTCTTTCATAAAACGTAAGGAACGATGTCACATTATCATAAGACAACTTAGAAATGCCTTAACATCATAGGGTCACGACACATTACATTGAAATAAATATACTAAGTCTTATAAAATATCATTAATGAAAGAAACTAAAAGAAACATAGTTCGTGTGCTCAAACATATGAGTACACACCAATCTTCAAAGAAATCTACTTCCGAAGCTTCACCTTGTAGGAAACTTCATTTGTCTTCCACCTATACTTTGATAAATAGAGAAGAATATGGAGTTAGTAGTATGGTAATATGTAAAAACATGTCTTTCAAAGAACCTTTTTGTTGAAACATACTTTTCATGCTATTTTGATAAATACCTCATGCAATAAATGTACAAGATATCTTACAAGTCATCATTTAACATACAAAATAATATTTCCAAAATTCTCAACATGCAGACACATTCATAAAGTAGTCCGTTAATCAATTAAACTTTCCTAACCAAACTTATCCTAAAACTCACCTAGGCAAGACATTAAGAGTATAAAACCTCTTCAATACACACCTATGTGATCCTTAAGACTAGCAATGATAAGCATACATTATTTTGAACTCAAAAAGTCTACATTCATTGCTAAATATACTAGACGAAATATACATGCATTTAAGAGCTTCACATAAAGACCATTTTATATGATAACCCCAAGTACACTAGTGAAGTGTGAAAGTAACATTCCATACTACTAGTTCGGCTTAGTGCTGCTTGGGAATCAGCCTATACTAGGAACATAACATTCATCATTTACAAAGACTTAATCAACATTAGACATAAGATTAATATGCTTGGGTAACATCATATAGTGACCAATTAATTCATTTTCATTATAGGGATACAGGAAGACTCCCTCCAAATGTCTACTTATGCAATGGATAGATGACATCTTATTTAACCATCTACCCCAAGTTTTACACTTTTAGAAAGACCTAGTTCATTACTTTCATTTGTGGATGAAAATTTGAACCGACATAGACCATGAGAGCTTGACATGGAATCCCAATATAAACCCCTACATGATAAGGGATCTCCATTTGCCTAAGGTAGTGTAATTCTCTTAGCCTTTACATGGATCTCCAATAGCTAAACCTATGCGGGCTCATAGTTGAGGGATAATGAGATTTCTTCTAAGTACTAAATCTCAAATCACGAAGAGTACTCATTTGAAGAGGTATATTGGATACAACATCTGTACTCACAAAGAGTATCCACTCCTTCTTCATATTCTCTTGGTGCTAAGCATTACTCCCCCACAGAATCTTAGACATTCATTATATAGGTTCAGAGATTACTACAAGTACTACAACTTGACTTACGAAGAGTATAAATCTCTAGAGGTTACTTTTGGACAATTCATCTCAACTCACGAAGAGTATCGACCCTCCAACCTATCATTCATTCGTTTGAAAGATCTTATGAATGGTAAGGTTGCTACTAGACACAACATGTCAACACAAAAAGAGTGTCCATCCCGAAACAATCCTTTTTCATTCTTTACGATTCTTACGAATATTAAGGTTAGCACTAGACACTTCATCTTTGCTTTTGGAAGAGTGTCTACCGTAAAATTCCTTATTTTCATTCACTCATTATGTGTGTAAGTAAACGAGAGAATTACTTTAGCATAACCACCATAATTCTAACCTTGATGTCACCACAAAAAGTAGACCCTAGAACATAGGGCACCCCTCAAGTCGGAATACGGCGTACTTGACCACTCATAGGTCTTGTACAAGCCCTTAGACATCATTCACTGCACATATACAAAAAATAGTGCGGAATTAAAAGTCTTTTTTCAAAACACAATCCTGAATGATTTTATAAAAATTCTAGCATATGTCTCAAAAACAATCTATGACATCATGAGTACATTAGTCTTGGATCATGACCTATCAATTTTTACATAGAAAAGAATATAAACGACAATATAGGAGTGATGTCCTCGGATGTTATGAGGACTCACAAATCTTCACTTCTTGAAAGCCTTGGAAACTCTAACATTCAAAGAATCTTTTAAAGACCCTACATTGGATTCGACTGTAGGAAAAATAAGCGTTAGCACGAAATGTACAAAGTAGGGAAACTATCATATTGAATCATAAGATATCTCAAAGGGTTAGTCAATAATAGACATAACCATAATAGATAAAACATAAGCATAACATGATTATAATTAACATAATAAAGCATCATAAAGTATATAATAGTGCATACTTAACTCAATGTACTTCTTACACAAATGAATTACATTAAAGCCACCTCCAAGTATACTTCTGCAAGCCTAAGGTAGCATCCTATACTACTATCGAAGCTAAGTGCCTCTCTCTGGTAATTCTAGATAATAATCCACTATCATAATAAGACCTAACTTCTTCATGACTTATGAGCACTATGCCCCAAGGCCATCTCAAATCATACTTGCGCAATGCATGTGAAACATCGCATTCTACCTCACACACTAAGAATATCTTAAAGTCACCATTTTCCCTGTTTTATTTTTCCTTACGATTCTCTTGTAGAACTACTACATATTCACAAAAACTTATCATTCTAAGTAAATCATGTCATGGAAAGCACCTACAGTCACGACCAAGCTAAACTTACATATCATAGGGGTCATGTCATAGGTAGATTCAAGTCATACTTGTTCCACGTATGGATATCATCCCACACTACTGTCCACACTAAGTAATTCTCTACACTAAACCAATCCAAGGTAACTAAGGAAGGAAACACCAATCCTAACCACCATGAAACAAATCATGTAGATTCAAGCTAATCATAGGTAAGCATGAATCCTGAACCCTAAGCTATAATGAGAAACTAATCCGAAGCTAATTCATGTAATGCACCTTGAATGCAAGAAAAATTATCATTAAATGCACCTAGTATGCAAGCAAAGCTAACATTAGGAAAGTATATGCCTTTCCCTAAGAGTTATCATGAAATGGTTTAGGCCTAAGCAAGTCAAGCTATCATGGAGGAACTCTAGTGATGTTACTTCAAGCTATTCTTAGGAGAGCCTCACTACTCAATCCCAAGCTATCATTAGAACCACAGTTCTGAAGATATCATGATCAAGAATCCTTTCAACACATAACTAAGCTAAACATGAGATAACTTATTTCCTCCATCCCAAGCTATCATGATATTTATCATCTCATGTTGTGATGATATCTACTATCTCAAGCTATCATGAGACCTACCATCTGAAGATATCTTGTCTCGATTTTATCTTACTAAGTCAACTAAACAAGAAGAGTCTTATTTAATACAACTTCAAGTTATTCTAATTCATCACGTCTTGTTTCATTTTAGGTTATTAGGTCAACTTAGTATCCGTCTGTGTGAGATAACTTGCTTCTTCTAACTTTTTCATAACTAAGTGTAAAAGAGAAAGAAAAAAACATCACAATCCCTTCATGAAGATTTCAATCTGAAAGACCTAGCATCAATGACATACCGAACCTATAGTCGATTATCAACTTCATTCTATCACAATCAAAGTTCAATTCCAAGATTCTTCATTCACTTAGATCATTAATAGGTAATTGTAAACATATATGATCAGATAGGTTGAAGTCCAACATTAATAGTCAAGATCAATTAAGCCTAGTTAATTCATATTCAGGTGATTCAATCATGATCGATTAACATATAATACAATTTAATTAATAACATCAAATTAGAACCTTCATATTGCCTATAATGGCCGAAAATAACGATGATCACCTACAATATAAATTAAAACAATACACCATATAGAACCCCATGAAACATCACATAACCATCATATGAACATAATTGAATGCTACCCACTAGATTGGGATCACAATCAAGATTTACCCACAATGCAATCACAACCCTCTCTAGATTTGTGTTTATTTGATTCACAATTAAGTAAAACTATGGGGACTCCATGAATTGAGGAATTCATGGATAAATAAGTTTAACATACCTTAAAATATATCACAAAACGCAGCTTTAAACCTTGGTTAATTTCGCCCTAAAAGCTGCCTCTTATTTCTCTTCTTCTTCAATGTTGTTCTTGAGATAGTTTTATGGAAGGAGGGGTTTTGATTGGGAATGTAGAGTGTAAACGGCTATTGTACTGCATAAATACACTTAAAACCCCTAAAATAACCACGAATAATTAATAATTAAACTTCCCCAAATACCCTTGCACCTATTGGACCATTTAACAAATACTAATTTGACTTAGAAACGGTGCGACCAAATCTCGGCAGTCCTTGCGCGTCGCAAGGTCACCTATGTTTCTTGGTTCTGAAATTAATTTGAAACATAATGGTTAACGATAACCCCATTTTTCAGGGGAAAATATAACCTTTGAGTTATGGCTGTGCAACGTGCAGCATCCTCCAAATCTAGGATGCCCGACAGCTTTCTTGGCCAATGTTTGGGTTCTCGTTGGGGACCCTTAGGGTGGTACCCAAGGTGTAGTACTCAATTTTTTGACCATTTATATGTAAAAATATGCATAATAACAATAAATAATTAATTAAAACCTCATACCATACACCAAAACTCCACTACAAAACAGTACGGCACATTACTTTGACCTAGACTACCTTCCGGATGTCTTGGACATTTCTTTTCCAAATTCATCAAAACTCTCCAAGCTGACTTCTAACACTTATATTCACAATTTTATTAACTTATTAACTCATAAAATTCATGTAAGTCTATATATTCACCTAGATCATTTTGGGAAACATTAGTACTCTAATGACACGTTCTTAAACACTTCTTAAAGGACCAATTCTAGACTACAAGCCCATCTTATATGACTTATACTTAAATGAACATACCCAAATCAAGGAAAAAATATACTCACAAGCTATATATAGATACACAAAACCATATAGATACCTTATAAAAAGTACTACTTATCCCCCCGCCCACTTGGAAATAAGCCACACATGTATTTCTAACTTCAATTCATCATCATTAAAAACAGCAAAGTTAGCAAAGAAAATCATAATCATGGAAATTCTTGTAATTTTCATAAATTATTCAAGAAACAAATAGCGGAGAGGGACATAATGAGATCACACTTGATCACCCTTGGATTGGAGAGCATAGAACCTATTCATCTTTGGAAGACCATCTTCCACTTGATTAGTAGCAACTTGATTGCCTTCTCTCACATTGATTTCCTTCTCTCACATTAGGCTTTGCATTAGGGAAATCATTAATCCTGTGACCACTCACACCACACCCGTAAAAACAACCTCTATTGTCTAAGAACCTACCCTCATGTTTGTTACAGCAACTAGGGCAAGTAGGTCGGGAGTACTCATTGCTCTTCTTATACCTAGGAATACTAGAGTATCCATGTCCACAAAACTTTTGTCGATTCATAGAACGACCATGTCCATCGGACTATTCACTTTACGTCCTAATTATCTTTATCTTTTTCTTATGCTTGGACTCTTATATTTGTTGAGAAAACACCATCAGTCGAGAGATATCCATATAATCTACTAGCATTTCCACACAACACACTGCCTCTACTAGTTCGGACACTCCCATTATGAACCTATTCATCTAGTCTCTAGGGTTTTCTACATGCTTGGAGCATACTTAGACAACAACGTGAATTTTAAAGCGTATTATTTAACACTCAACTTGCCTTACTTAAGGTTTATGAATTCCCATACTTAGCCTCCCTCCATTCCATATGAAAGAACCTGTCAAGGAAAGGCGACTTAAAAGTCTCCAACTCTATGGGACAGCCCCTATCAGCCTAGAATCTTTCCACTACTCATACAACAGTTGAACCACAACATTCAATTTAGAAGACGCTAACTCCGATTTCTCCCTAGAAGTCAATCTTATAATATAAAGAGTCTTATAAACTTCATCTATAAACCCATTTGTATCTTCCTTCTCCTTGGAGCCACTAAATTCCAAAGGGTTCATCCTCAAGAACACCCTTATTCTTTAGGAACACATTCTCTCTATAGGGTTTGACACCACCTACAAATTGTCTTGGGCCGTCAAGGCTTGAGCCAACAAATTCATAGAAGTCCTAAATTCCTATAAAGTAACTTCTCCACTTGAGGAGCATTAAGAACCTGAGGATTGACTTCATTCCCTTGGGGAGGAGCCTCTTTACTCTCACATCCATCTCCTTCCATTCTCGCATTAGCCCTAGTGTTAGTTATAACTTGGACAAAATCATAGAAAAGCATTATAATAAGGCTATAATAAAGTCAAACTCTATTGCACGACTTGAGGAATGAAGACGTGAAATTTTCATTAGCATATTGTAGCCTCAAACTAGATGTGGTTTTGAGACATCCTAGGACCATTTCATACCCTTATGCTCTGATACCATGTTTTTCATGACCCAAAGTACACCCTGGAAAATAGTGCATTGCTTAAGTCTAACAAGGCGTACTTGACATCTTGGAGGTCTTCTACAAGACCTTAGACATCATTAATAACACACACACACACACACACACACTCACACATATATATATGTGTGTGTGTGTGTGTGTGATAAGTAGTACTAAATTAAAACTTTTCTTTCAAAACATAATGCAAAATCATTTTATAAAACTACTAGCACATGTCTAAACTACCATCGATGACATCATGAGTACTACAGTCTTGGGTCACAACCCATAAATATTTATCATAAAAAAGAACATAAACGACATCATAGGAGTTATGTACTAGGATGCTTTGAGGACTCACCAATCTTCACTGCTTGAAAGCCTTGGAGACTCTACTTTCAAAGTAAGTCAATCCCTTCAAGACCCTACATTGTATTTGAATGTAGGCAAAATATGTGTTAGTACGAAATACACTAAGTATGGAAACTATCATACCAAATCATAAGATAACTGAAAAAGTTAGTATATAATTGACATAATCATAAGACATAAAACATAAGCATAACATTAATATCATACACATAATAAAGCATCATAAAGCATATAAGAGTTCATACTTAAGTCATTGTCGTCATTACACAAATGAACTTCTCGCAAGCCAACTCCAAGTATACTTGTACTAGGCTAACGTAGAATCCCATACTACTACAAAAGATAAGTACCTCCCTTTGTTTCTTTATCATAATTTAGACCTAAGTTCTTCATGATATATGAGAACTATTCCACTAGGCCACCTCAAAGCATACTTGGGCAAGGCATGTGAAGCATCCCATTCTACCTCACACACTAAGCATATCATGAAGTCACCATATTCTCTTTTATTTTTGCTGAGGAGTCTCTAGTATACAAACTTCATATTGACAAAAAAAACTATCATTTTAAGTGAATCATAACATGGGAAGAAACTATAGTCACTACAAAAGTGAAACATACATATTATAGGGGTCATGTCATTGTTAGCTTCAAGTCATACTTGTGCCATGTATGGATAACATCCCATACTACCATCCACACTACGTACTTCTCTAGACTAACCGAATCCAATCCAACTAAGGAAGGAAACACTCATCCTAACAATAATGCAACCAAGCATGTAAATGCAAACTAAGCTATCATGAGACACTAAATCCAAGATAATTTATCATGAAAGACACCTAGAATGCAGGTCAATCTAACATTAGGAGAGTATAATACCTTCCCCTAGAGCTATCATTAAATGGTTTTAGCCTAACCATGTAAAGCTATCATGAAGGCACTGTAGACATGCTACTTCAAGCTATTCTTAGGAGAGATTTACTACTCGATCCCAAGCTATCATTAGAACCACCATTCCAAAGCTATCATGATGAATCATCCTAGTAACACATGACCAAGCATAACAAGAGAGGGCTTACTTCATCCATCCCAAGATATCATGAGATTCATCATCTCAAGCTGTGATGAGATCTGAAGCTATCATGAAAACCTACCATCTCAAGCTATCTTTCCTTGGTCTTATCATAAAAAGTCAACTAAACAAGAAGATGATTATTCAATACAACATCAAGTTATTCTAATTAATCATGTAGTGTTTCGTTTTAGGTTATTAGATTATCCTAGAATCCATCTATGTGGGAGAACTTGCTTCTTCTAACTTGTTCATATCTAAGTGTAAAAGATAAATAAATCATCATCAGATTCTTTCATAAAGACTTCACCCCCAAAGTCGTAGCATCAATGACATAGAAGCCCTATAGTCGATTTTCAACTTCATTATATCATGATTCATGTTCAATTATAAGTTTCTTTATTCACTTAGATCATTAGAAGGTAAGTCTATGAATACTTGATCACATAGGTTCAGTTCCAACATCACCAGTAAAGATAATCCTAGATCAATTAAGCCTAGTTCAATTCATATTTACGTGATTCAATCATGATCCATTAGAATATAATAAAATTGAATTACGAAGGTCAACATAGAACCTTCATCTTGCTACTAACCGAAAATCACCATGATCTCCTTCAACATTTAACACTACAATGCACATGAAAAACACATGAAAACATCACTTAATCATCATATGAACATAATTAATTGTTAACCACTAGATTGAGATCACAATCAAGCCTTACCCACGATGCAATCACAATCCTCTCTAGATTGGGGTTCTTTGGATTCACAATTGAGGGAAAATATAGGGACTCCATGAATGGAAGAATCCACGGATGAATAAGATTACAATACATTAAATTTAATCCTCAAACCCATCTTGAAAACTTTGTGAATTTCGTCCTAAAGCCGCCTCCAATTTCTCTTCTTCTTCAATGGTGTTCTGGAGAGTGTTTTATGGAAGGAGGAGTTTTGATTTGGAGTGTAGAGTTTAAAGGGATATTGTAATTCTTAAATACACTTCAAACCCCAAAAACAACCGCCAATAATCAATTGCAAATGTTCCGAAGAGACTCATGCACCTACTGGACTGTTTAACAAACTCTAATTTGGCTTTAAAATAACACGACCAAATCTGGGCAGTCACAGCGCATCGTGGGCTCAATTAAGATTCTTGTTTTTGGAAAATAATTTTGAGACAAGATTGTTCGCAAAGGCCATAGGATGGAGGAATATATTCTCCATTTCAGTGATGGATGCGCACGCGTAGCAGCCTCCTCTACCCTAAAGTGATCATATTCCACATACAATCATACTTCATATTCCCATTATAAGTCAGTTAGGCATAGTATATTGACGACACACATTCTTAACTTCATAAGACATCACATACATACTTAAACATCATACAATAACTTTTCCTCACATTAATTTCCTTCGAAGCCATAATCACAATTCACTTCCATATTCATATACATCAACGAAACACCGCCACCATAAGTGGACCATACAACTAAATATACTTACCCTTAATCCAGGCATTGAACTCCTTTGGTCAATTCTCTAATAAATAATCATAATAAGGCATAAATGTCAGTAGATAATCACAATTCAAAATAGTATAAAAACAATTCTTCCATTGCACAATTGTATTCGACAAACCTAATTCATGTGTAAAAATTTGAAAATTTTTCATTACCATGGGTCCATGGATTTTTTATCATAAAATAATTAATTTACATTGAAAACATCATAATTAATCCATTAAAAACTTTTCATGTAAAAACCTATGCTTAAAATTTGAAATAGAATAATTTAGGATTTTGAAACCATTTTGAAAACCCTTTAGATGCCTCCTTAATGAGAGCAGAATAAAGACTCAACAACCATACCTCATATAAAGAAAACCCATGAAATTTGATTAATAAATCACTGAAAATCTTTAATCCTATCTCTACCTTGAGTTCAAGCTTCAATGGAGTCTTGAGAGAGTTTTTCTTGGGAGAGGGTTTTGATTATGAAAAGTGAAATCAAATTTAGGTCTTACGCGTATAAACTAACTTAAAATTCCTAAAAATCCCTAAAGTAACCATCTACTTCTTAAGTAGGATGTGGGATAAATTTTCAATTCACCCCTAAGTTTGCCGAGACACGTGCAAAAAATGAAGGCAAATGGCGACCACCCATCCACATGGCGTAACTCAACCAACGCACCATCCTGCTTGTCCGTCGTTTCTAACAAAGGATCATATTTTAGGGATACTATCCCACAAATAAGTCTGGATCCATACCCCCCAACAATGGGGCATCAATCCATCTATTGGTCATTTATTGAGGGTCACAATTTAGAATCTTTTTGGCAGCTTCTTGCCAATGTTAGGGTCTGTCTTAAGGACCCTTAAGGTTGTCCTTGGGGAGTCGTACCCAGAAGTTTAGACCCTAAACATGAAAAAATAGGTTCGAGGGTCCCTTACTTTCAATTTAAAGACCAAACAACACATATAAAATGAAAAGGCACACTAGTACACACATGACTAGTTTCCTAATGTCTTGGTCGCTATTTGACGTTAAATTTCAAAACTCGTCAATACTAACATTTAAAGCTATTCGTTAGAATTTTATTACATCATTGACTCATGAAACACTTGTGAAGCTCTAGTTTGTCCTACTTTATTTTGAGGGTCGTTACAATCTCCCCCACATAGAAAAAAAATTGTCCTCGAATGACACTAAACATCTTTAAGGACTAAAATACTCAACTTGAATCTCACAAAAAACCTAAATATGGAAGCAAAAATCATATTCAATGAATCAAACATACAAGGAAAAAAAACTTCAAATCATTTAGTACTCTAAGCAACACATGCAATTATTATCTATTTCCACAATTCAAAATACATGCATATTTAATCATTTTCATTGCATTTATGAAGGAACTACCTTCTCCAACATTAAACATTCTCATCAGATCATTATGATGTTCTACATTTAATAACTTTCGAAACACACATTTGCATATGAATATAACAACTCATAAGGTAATTAAGCAAATATGATTGGATACACAATTACATGAGAAATATGGATTACCTAGCAATATTCCCATGTAACTGTGATATCATCAGCAACATGCAAGAAATTACACCATCAAAGGTACTCACATAAGGAGACATGAAACTCATACTCATACGCAATACTCCAAAACATAAACAAACTACTATGAATTTAGGTCTTAGCCTTAACTACGAATAGATTAAAAAGATAAGGATATCAACAAACTTACTACTCAATTCATTATCCCCCACTTAGGTGAAAACCATCAAGGAACAAATGAAAAACAACTATAAGGACTTATGACTTACCGTGGCTTTTATTTATTATAAATTCCTTTGTTAGCTTGTAGAATATAGAAGCAATTCTTCTTTTAAGTATAGGGATCTATACCATCTTCAGGAGCTTTGTCGGTCTCCATCCATATTTTTCTTGAGGACCGTAAAATATCTCATCTTATGGCCATTATTTCCATATCCAAAACATCCATCTGTACCAGCAAGACACTTGCCCAAGTCTTGCTTCGCACAAGTAGTACAATTATCCCTCTCAAAACTAGAGCCACCTCCATTCCCCGCTTTAGAATTTTTGTTGGGAACCTATCCTTGTTCTTCATGGAAGAAGCTTGATTTTAAAACCTCTTTAATAGTTAGGTTGACTTGTTTAATCTGACCTAGCCCTCTTCTCATCTCTATTCATCTTCCTAAGCTTGCAATCCTCCTTGGCCATACCCTATGAGTGTAGAGATATCCATATCATGATGGAGCATTGCCTACTAAACTTTTCCTTAACCAAACTAGACACCCCCATCTTAAATTTATTTATTATCGGCTAGAATTGGCTACCAAGGTTGGGGCATACTTAGAGAGTAGAGTGAATTTTACATCATTCACTCACATTCACAATTGACGAAGGTTCATGAATTCTACTGAATCTTTCTCC